TTTATCCGTAGGAATAATTATGAGCTTATCATTCATTTCCGGTGAAACGTAGGGTTGTATTACCACTCCGACCACATCCAGATTCGCTTCTCCATTAGAGGAGAACATTTGTTGAAAATAATCCGTAATTATCTTGGTTATATCCAGTTCTTTGAAAGCCGGTTTGCCTGCTACATCTTCCAGAATCGTGAACCGGTTGCAAGTCCGCCTATCTCTTGTGATTGCATGAAAAGAATTTGTATTGAGATCGCCACAAGCAAGCCATGCAACTCTACTTTGTTATTTCCAAAACATCTCTTCCTCACGGTAAGCTTGTTCAAGAGTAGCTGTGTATTCCACAATTACTATGGGATCGGGATTACCATTTGATAAGGCTCTCTCAAGTGCCTCTTCATCAATTTTGATTATTTGCTATAAAAGTAGGGAGAATCTGTAAACTTTTTATCGTTGAAGATTTTGGATTTTACCCAAAAATTAAATTGTTGACTAAGTAATTATCTTCTGGGTCGAAGTTGCCATTGAGCCTCCTGCACAAAAATAATAACAAACAGGAAATTACAAAAGTCAAATCCAAAATTTAAATGGAAATGAAAATAAAATTACAAGATGTATATTAGATCATTACACAATTATTGGTAACTGATGTGTCAAAGTGAACCTTAAACTTTTTATTGTTTTTTTTAAAATGAACCTTAAACAACACTACCGTGGTGATATGTAGTTTTTAAAGATCAAATTGGTTCACGGGAAAACAAAAACGACTCACTAAAAATACACGAACTATCTAAGAAAATGATTTTTTTTTGGTTTTTGTAATCATGAAACTAGTCGATATCAAAGTAAATGACCGTTTAAGAAAGCAAACAAGCAAATATGACCAAAACTCAAATAAGACACCAAGAATAGGAAGAACCAACTATAACCAACAGAAAAAAAAATGATCAATATGAATCATAAGTCAAAATAATCGATTTGGGATGATCAACCGCTAACTAATGATGGTAGAACCTTCAATCACGCTCAATTTCATGACAAAG